TTATATTTTATTCATATACGATCGATGGTCCGGTGAGTATTTATAAATGTTTGCTAATTTTTTATTTATATTTCTTTTTTTAGCGTGTTGTTCTGATATTTATAACTGCCGTGGATATATATTAACCAGATGTATTTCGTTCATATGCGATCGGAGAAATAATAAAAACAAACTTTTTTCGAGAATTTAATACAAGTGTGAAAATACTTTTTCAAAAATAATAAATTTGAATTCGTTACGAACGCTTGGAATAGATTTTAAACTCGGTATCGTAAACAAAATAAAAATAAAACAAAATCTTAGCTTCAGATGTAGAAAATGTTATTAATAACACTAGATGAAATTTTTTATTTCCGGTGTGGATCGTTGCGAGTTGTTTTTCGCACTAAAAAGCAGAGTGCCACACAATTGGTTTCGTTAAATCAGTCAGTGTACTGTTTTTATTAGTTTTTTATCGATAATTGTGTAGGATAAGGAACATGTTGAATTGTGGCCATACAATAACGATGACTTGCAGCTCTGTAACGAATCACAACAACCGCTTTTATCGGAAACACCTGATCGAAGTATTGTACGGACACAAAATTACGATAGTTATGTAAAAATATAATTTGAATTATAATAATGCGCCTGACGCATGTGCAATGAAAATCAAACAATGCCTTGTGTATAATATACACGTTCACCATCGCATCCACATGGCCAAATCGGAAGAACGCTTAATGTTTGAAATTTCTTGGCGGTATTATAATAAATTACATATAAATCCTATGGATATTATTTAAATTATTTAAAAAAAAAAAAAGAAAAATTATCTTAAATAACGTACTACAGAATGTTTCATTTGTGTACATTTATTTCATGCGTGGAAATTTAACGGTTAAACAAATACAATGAACGTGAGATAATGTTATGTTATATTGTGACTTTGTAGTATGTTTTATGTATTTGTTGCACTGGACATCTGAACGTTAAAAATGAAAATTAAAATATTTGCGTGAATAGTATGATACGGGAAGCCACATTACCGGATCAAATATTTTTGATTTTTCGCTATTGTATCGGCTCCTAGAAATCCTACCAAGTTGAAATAAAGCTTACGTCCGTAAATATATAATAAATATTTGGTCCGTACAAAAGCTGTGGCTCCGTTTAAAATTCAATAGATTTTACGAAAATGACTTCGGGTCTCGCAGCAGGTGGTTTATGAGATTTTTTTAAAAAAAAAACATGGCGTTTCGATCATGGATGAGATGTAAACTGATGAAAAATTTAAAAAATATAAATAAAACTTTTGACATCACATCTCGTCAATATTTTTTTATGTCACTTATTTTTTTTCCGGTTATAGAGAGCTTTTTATTATTTATAGTTCTGCGATCAATTTTTGTGCATCCAATTGCATCATCTCCCACACCAAGTAGGAAGGTACACCATTTTATAAACACCTACATTTGAAAAGCTGTTGTATTTATAGAGCTTAGTTCACAGAAGCTGAGTAAGAATTTTGAATCGTGAAAAGATCGATTTCTAACTCTTGTACACATTGGCACAACTAAGTCTAAAATATTGGGGGGGAGGAGGCTGTAGCCCTACAAATAAATTTAGTCAATGTAAGTTATGGGGTGCTTCGCCTCTCATATCCCCCATTGCCGTAGCCACAGAACAATAATTATTAATTGAAATAAAAATAATCATAAAATATTATTACCATACTATATTATTAAAAATCATGTACTTACTTCTATGTAGTATGTTTTACATAAAATATGACATATCACCACTGCAATATTCCACCGTCGTCCGTACATTTATTAGATAACAATATTATTATGAATTATGTAGGATTGTAGGAATTACAAAATAAACTATAATAATAATATTTTATATTTATACAATTTACTTTTGAATAATTCTCTGCGTCATATACTAATATTATTTAGTATGTATCTCACTATCCCATGCTTAAAATATCATTAATTTTTAAATAATCAAAAAAATTTGGAGGGGGCTATAATACATTTGGGGGTGGGACTAAGCCCCCAAAGTCTCTCCCCCTAATTGCGCCAATGCTTGTACATGGATATTGCAAAGTGTTCGATACGTTTTGAAACAATCTTTATTATCAAAGAGCTATTATTTTCAAACATTTAATATATGTACGGGTTTAAAATTTGGCAATATCGATTTCATTTTTTTTCAACTATGGATAGCAAAAGTTAATTAATCAATTATTGATGTTATGAGTTTTTTCAAAAGTACCTCAAGATATTAATCTTAACAATCCTCTGATAACGAAATAATAATATTAAAAATCAGAAAACAAAATACTTAAATATGCGTTAATCGTATATTCGTACTCATAATTGTATTATTAATTAATTTTCCAAGCACATTTCAATATATATTGAAAATCTGAAAATAATACGTGTATAAAATAAAACGTTTTTAAAACAAAATATGTACAAAAATGTAAACAATTTTATAAGTTGCTCGAAACAAAATGTTTAAATTTTCAAAACCATCTTTTTTTTTTCCGTAACCCAATTGACTCATACCTTCATATCGCAACCACCTCACAGGTATTAATGTATTTTGTGTTGCTCGGGGAATTAAAATCTCTCGGAAACGCCTATTCGATTTTTTTATTCTATATTGTTTTATTCGCTGCACAATATTACAAAACGAGAAATTTTAATAATTATATTATGAAGGTGTTCTAAAACAGTAATGCATGTTACACGCGCGATGACGACGATGACAATGATGAATTGGACATATCTTACAGTCATCTCGTTAATGACATTATATACGCAGACTTTCGTTCGAGTTGTAAAAATAGTGTAATAATTGTAAACGTACATTCACGCATATGACACCCCCGTGTGCCGCGGTAAAATTAACTTTTTTCAATTCACGTGCGCTGAAAAATTGTTGAAATTCTTGACACCGCATGAAATTAATTCACCCTCCACTCACGCAGGGGAAACCGACTCACCATATTCTATTCGCGCGACGTTCACACGAGCAAACTTTCGTCGATTGTGTTTGTGGTATTACATCACTATCGTGTTTACCGGTTAATCGTCTTACTTTAATCGGGAGAAAATAAAAAAGTAAAAAGAAAATTCCATGATTTTAATTCTCCATGAAAATCGTGTATCTGTGCTCAATATGTATTGCATACTATATTTACCAACGTAATGTAAAAATCGTTTAAAAAAAAAAAAAATATATATATTGCGAATATCATATGACCAGGGTGAGAAACTACCGGACTAGTAATTTCCGTCAAATCCGTTGCAACCACGGGGACACCTCGTTCTGTGTAATTTTCAACACATGGAGCATACCGTGCAATTATACAAGAACCACTGGATAAGTGATGCAGAATGCTCGACATTATTATCATTATTATTATTATTATTACCACCGGATATTGCGCAGTAGTCGATGACATTTTTGGGACGTCAAACTCTTTTTGTCCAACGTCGGACAAAAAACGCAACGGACTGTTGGTAATATACGAGGAGACTAAGAAGTCATAATACTATTATGTATAGCAGCACAAAGGCATGATGGAAAGCGTTTTTAAAAACATATATAGATGGCCTGCGAAATAGTTTTATGTTAATATAAAACTGAATTAGATTATTTTTCAGAAAATAACAATTACGAGTGAAATTATTGCTCTAACAATTTTATTTGTAAAATTTCTATCGCATTTTCAAACGAGATGAAGTAATAATAATTATAAGAACAATAAAAAAAGAAGCAATTAAACCCGTTATAAATGTAATAAATGTCTTGCGAAAAGCAATCGCTTGTAGTCTGTAATAATTTTTATTTTATTTTTTAACCGAATCACCTGCCGCGTGAACCGAAGTAACGTGATGAAAAGAAAAACAATAAGATGGTGTTATTAGCTGTTAATGCAAACTATATGTTATTTTATTCAATTTAATAATCGTCTAAAATTGGAAAAATATTTTGGAAAACAAAGCGCGTTGAAGAATCTACGGATTTTCTATGTACAATATTAATGGTCTTCAGGAGCGGAACATTTGCCTGCATCTTTACTTTTACACGGCGCTATAGTCACTGAGTATGGTCACATAAGGGAATCGAGTAATAATTTAGTAAGTTATTTAGCCATACATCATGGTACGGGAGATGAATGCATTTCGTTAATTCGTTTTTAGATAAAAGCGTACTTGAAGAGTCGTACCTCGGTACTGAAATATATGTGTAATATAAGTATTCGGTATCATTTCGATTAATCACCCACCACTACTGATGCGGAAAGAATAAGAGATATGGCAACCTAAAAAGCCAGCAGTAAAGTTGAAACTAACAAAAAAAATAAAAATTAAACCGATTATTTAATCTTATAATTTTTAATCGATGTGTAATAAATATTTATCAAGTATTTGAATGTGTTGTAAAAATAATGAATAGTATAAGTCGTAATTATTGAAAGTATAATAAACAATTTGTATGTATGTCTAAGAAAGTTTGTTTTTCGTTTAACCGTCTTTTTGATTATCCATCAAGGCTCTGGTCCCGGACTGACGGATAATCGGAGGTTCTTCTGTACCAAAATATATTTACAACCTTACCGTCGATAATTAGTTCACGGAATAATAATAATAATAGTAATAACACGTTTATCTACATGTCTACCGCGGTATCTAGGATATAACCCATAGTAAATTCTAATTCATAATGAGTTATATCGTATTGATTCTTAACCGCATAATTTTAGTTCGACACGTACATTAAAACACATTATACATTTTGATACGATAAAATATTATTATAAATATTTATAATTAAAATATTAAACGTGTGTGTGTGTGTGTGTGTGTTTAATAAAGGTAATTTCTTTAAGGTTTGTAACCACAGTTGGAAAATTTGGGGAAATCGATTACGGTCATATTATGGTATACGCTGCGTTCTTATTAATGGTCGTACTACCGAGGGAACGTTTTTATATTTACCTCCGTAATGACTTCTGCTGGATCCGGGTTATCGGGGGTAACCGTTCTACGTATTACCGTTGACACCGGCGGAGGAGATTGGCATTTGGACAGACTTCCAACGGCCATCCCTGCAAAACACACAAAATTGCAAGCAACATAAATTAATTTTTCAAACTGTCAATTGTTTAACGCAAACATATAATACAATAATATAACGACAACGAGAAACACGATTGCTAAGTGTTATAAAAGTAAGCGAAATATTGTTACTGTTGTCGGTTTCGATTCTTATACCGAAGCGAAAGACGTCAGCATTCGTTTATATCGATGTGTTAAGCTGACAGTCTTAATAACAATTTATTATCCAGCGTGTTTTTTTTGCCTTCGAGTATTTATGCATCAAGAAATCTGAAAACCGTTCTCATTATTGTAATATCGCGATAGGTAGACCTACCCAAACATGTTTTTTAATTATATTGTTTCTTGTTCTGAATTTCTGAACGCGGTGAAGCAAAACCTTCCAATGCAATATAATATTTCCTTTTTATATTTCTACAAAATACTTATAATTTTATCACGTTTTTTCTACCATCAGAAACGTATCATGTTTGGCATAGAAAGCAATTAAGGATATTATTAAAAATAAAAATATGAATTTTAATATTTAGCTATAGCTTTATAAATGTGCTGGTGATTGAACACCGGTAGCGCGATTATGCTTTATAATATTATGTATAAACTGGGTTAAAATTCATAGAAATCAAATTCGGAAATTTGTTTAGTTATAGTTTGTGCGATTTCTGTTATTTTTAACATTTTTTTTTTTTTAATTAAAAATAATATCTTACCACGTTGAAATTCTTTTCGTTTTCACGAAACATGGATTTAAAACGATTTTTTTTACCGCAACGTGCCATACAAAATTCACGAGTGTAATGGTAGTGCAGAGTGGAAGAAGACAAATCCTCCCGCGGCTATATAATTAAAAGCTTTAGTCAGAAAAGTTTATATTTATGTTTTACTCTTTCTTTCACTTTCTTTCTCTATTGTATTATTCTCTTGCCTTAAAAAAATCCCTCCATTGTCGGTGTCGTTTATATATATATATATATTTATATTTTTTTTGATTTTTTTTTTTGTAAAAACGTTGCAAAAACAAAGGGATTAACAAAACTAGTTATAGGTCACGCAATATCGCGTACGGGAAATTCGTCGTCGAGTTGTTCAACGTGCGCATGTCGTCATCTACGGTCTGAAAAGTGTGGTAATGCATACACTCATATACAGTACACATTTATCGTACACAAAGGGATCCCCTGGTTGTAAATAGTATATGGTTAAATGAAAGTATCGGTTGCACCTCTAGGCACATTGCTCTTATGAGTATTTTGTAAGTTAACACGCCTACGGGCACCCTCGGTGTTCGCGTGTATTTGAAAACAGTGCATCCACTGTATATGTAATATATATACTTAAATTATTGTTAATATGTGAGCGTGTGTGCACAGATGAGGGCAAAACTTATTTTCAAAATACTGAATAATGTTACTTAAACAGTAATAATATTACGGTTGATTTGATTCGCGTTCCGATTATTTTAACAACTTAAAAACGTAGATAGGGAGCAAGTTATTTTCCTATGCGGTTTTGTCACTATACTTATGATACATCCTGTATGTACGCGAGCATACACGTTAATTACCGTTGGGGTTTTAATGGACTTTCGTATAATGGACTAAATATTTCAATATTTACATACGTATTCAATTTTAAAATGTAAGAGATATTTTGATGAAAAAAATAGGTTTTTCAAATAACTTTTAATTTTTAATTTGAATTACTCCAGCAAAATCAATTGTAACTAAACAGTCCGTAATGAAAATGACCTAGTTTGTTTTACTTTTATGTTAAAAATAACTAAATTTAATTACGAACTCATTTTGTATTGATTCAATCCCAAAGTCTTAAGAAATAAGTATTTGTTGTTTACATGAAAATGAATGAAAATTAAAAGAAAAATTCAAAAGAAAAGTGTGTCAAACGAACGCATTACAAAATAATTTTCTAATATTACTATATTCAATAAGAAAAAAAAATAAAAAAAAAAATAAATATTGATCATAGTAATATATATGTAATGCATAAATATGTCTATAATAATATGTCCAATGACCACAGATGCCACTGATAGTTTATTTAATAAAGTAATAAAAAAAATATTTAAATTTGTTCTGTAATTGCGTTTTAATTGTCTGACTCGATTTCATTTGGAATATTAAATCATTAGATAATATTATTATACAGAGTGGATAATAGTACTTAATAATATTTATTTAATGTGATGTTGGATTTTTTGAAAAAACGGAAAACCATGGTGGCTCAATCTGTATATTATGTGTTTATATAATATTTAATGCAATGAATGCGCATATAAGTGTCTACAGTTTTGATTTGTCACAAGATTACGAAATGTTTTTTAACAATTTGTATTTTCTTACCATCAATTTTTCTATTTTTATATTATACGAGTGCATTGGATGTATGAAAAAATGATGAAAAGCCCTTTTTAAGCCGGAGAATTATTAATTGGAGTGGGGATTGAGCGAGAGACCAAAGATAACACGTATGTATGTATGTATGTATGTATGTCTGTGTGTGTGTGTGATTGTGTACTTCTGAGTTGAAAAGTAACTAAGAAATTAGAATCTTACAACACCAGTGGTCGATAAGTTAAACTTAACAGAGGTTTCATAAAGAAGGAATATATTGAACGTATGTTATGAAATGATTGTGAAATGTTTCATAAAAACCTTTTCTAATCACTGTATGTGAAGGAGAAAATCCATCAAAAAATGTAGTAAGGTATAAAGCAAGATAAAGAATAAAATATTCCATCCTAGATAAAGCAAAGTTTAATGAAAAAATAAAAATAACAATGATAATAACAATAATAATAATAATAATAATAATAACAATAAAAATCATTATTCTACGACTCACGAACTACCGTTGTTTTAACAACTCGTTTTACAGCCCTATATAACTGAAGCTTTGTGGTCTCTTTACAATTTACTTCGGAGCTTACCGAGAAATAAAATATAGAATCTTCTCAAACTTAATTTATAACCTTTAATTAAAGGGTTTTGTCAATTGTTAGCTTATCGTTTTGTGTTGTTCATCACTTCCACCCTTCATTCTCCGAGGTGGCGTTCTTATTATTGCATTTTATTATTATATTATTATGTGTGCATTAACGATGGGAAAAATCTGGATTCGTTGAAGTTTAAAAATCCAGATTTTACTGTAAACCCAGATTTCGGATTTGAAAACATTGTAATAGTATTTTTTCAAGAACTATTTATAGTAAATACAAAATAATTAAACAATCTCAAAATTAAATGATGTTTTGACCTAACCTAATCAAGAATCGCATATACAAGTTTTTATGTAATATTAAATACATAACTCGGATATTATAAAATAAATTTTAGTTATTATTAGTTGTATCTCCAAAAATAATGGTACGTAAGACTTCAAGTGTTTATCAATTATTAAGATATCTTATTTAGACCACCATAATTTTGTCCGAGATTTAAAATAGCGACTAAAAAGTAGTGTGATGAAAGTTATATGATTAGCATACAGACATTTTCAATAATAAACCCAAATTTCAGATTTTTAAATTAAAAATTCCGGATTTCGGATTTTGAAATTCGATAATCCGAGTTTCGGATTTCAAAACTCGAAATCCGGATTTTCTAGTCTGAAATTCGAAATCCGGATTTGGCAGATTTTCGAAGAATCGGGATTTCTTTCCCAGCACTAGTGTGCATACACCTTTATAGGATAGCTTATTTATAATATTACACACTTTATAATGTACCTGTATTATATACTTGTTGTCTGATAAAATATACGAGATAACTATGCGATTTTTTTTTTAAAATTTTGTTTAACGGTATTGTTTATAAAAACCAGAGTAGGTAACTGATTCAAGAATGTAATATAAGTTAATACACGCAATTATCTGTAAATAAAATGTAAAATACATAAAAATAAATGTATCTTTTATTACACATGATACCCTACAGGCACACAACCAAGACCGCAACTACCGGGTGTGAAAGGCGTGCATTGCACATCGGCCTTCAAACCGTTATAGGCCCCATACGATGTATTATTATGGATTTGGTTGTAGACATATTAACTGAAGTAAATTGATAAATATAAAAAAACAGATTTATCATATTATTAAATATTTATAATCAAATTACATACCTAACTACTAATTGGTTGCCAATGACCAAATGTAATACCATTAATTATAAATACTACTATATTACTAAAGTATTTATAATCCTATGATAATACTAATTCTTAGAACAGAAATAGCAGAAAATAATCCAGATCTACATTAATGCAGGTCATTTAAAATTAAAGATCCACTAGATTACCTTCCATAATATAAACACCGGTCAATATATTTTATTTATAGTAGGTAAATACTTTTTTGAAAATATATTTAGGCCCCAAATTCAGATTTACATACCAGCCCCATAGTGTGTAGTGGCACTGCACACAACGTATGCCCGATATATTAGATTTATTATTGACTATAAATTATGTGTGTGAAGTTGGCCCACCCTAAATCAAGCTAGCGACTCCAAACCTTTACAGACATTTTGCAATTAATTTGCTTTCATTTGCTATGTAGTTTTCAGAATTTGCATACCCATGGTTATTCCGGAAATTCATATTTTCTGTCGGGGGGCCAACTTCACGGCCCTCCAATTTTAAGTTAGCGACTCCAAACCTGTACAGGAATTTTGCATTTAATTTGTTATAATTTGCTATATAAATTTCAGAATTTGCATACCCGTGGTTCTTCCGGAAATTTATATTTTCCGTTCGGGGGCCAACTTAACCACAGCCACCCAATTTTGAGCTAGCGACTCCAAACCTTCACAGACATTTTGCAATTAATTTGCTATAATTTGCTATGAAGTTTTCAGAATTTGTATAACTATGATTTTTCTGGAAATTAAGATAATTGTTTAAATACGAGAGTTTTACTACTTCAATAAATTTTTCATCAAGAACAAAGTGTTATAAATGCAAAATTAATTGA